TTTGCAATAAGAAAAGAGGTAACACAGAAAGGAGGAAGGAAATGCTTTGTACTTTTCCCTCTGGGTCTGATGGAATTGGTCACCCCTATGCCCTTTGAAAGCATCTCCCCTCCAATCTGAGCTAACTGCCAGAATCCTGAGCCTAGGAGCCAGTGCCTAGCTTAAGGCATAGAGCACTGGGGGAGAGGTGGTGGTGACAAAACAAAAATAATAGACGAGAAAGGGAAGCCAGACAGTGGGGATTAGGGGAGAAGGCAGTTCCAATACTTATGTCAGGGCCAGAGATGGCCTGTCTGTCCTTTAGAAGTCTACTATTTAACTTTCATGGCCAATAATATCTTAAAGAGGCTCAAAGTTTTGAGGATATTTTGTTTCTTTGCGTTCTAAGCATCTCTAGTTGGCATTTGAAAAGCCTAAGGCTGTGAGCATTGATTGAAGGAACTTGTTTAAAGTATAAAGAAAGGGACCTCAATTTCCTGGTGAGATACTAAATTCAGATATTCTGGCTTCCAAGCCCTGCACTAACCGAGAAAGTGTCACCTCCCTGACACTAAAATTTTATAGTTTGTCAAATCTCAAGTACTCTGAAATTACATATTATTTTTAAATGATGATACATTTCTCAGAATACCTCAGGTTGACATGCTCCCTCTGCTCTCAACAGCAAAGTAGGGAAGAAAGGAAATAGGTTTTGGGGACTTGGTCTGATAGAGGCCAGATCTCTGTGACTATAGAAAGCCAAACTTATCCAAAATAAGCTAAGAAAATTTTATGGCCTGGTCTTAGTTACATAAACTTTCCTCCTTGTAAATTGGTGGCATTCAAACTAATATGCACGGGTATTGGCGATATTGTTCACATGAATTTCAACACCAAGTAGTTTATTGCCTTGTAATAAAATTATGCCACGCTCTATATGTAATGCATTAATTATCCAAAGTTATTAGAGATACTGTTCTTAAAATTCATTAGCTCTAGAAAGACGCCAGGGTAAAGGTCATTATTCCCATTTGATAGCTGAAGAAATTTCTGTGAGAAAATCTTTATCCTAGGACCAGTAGGGTTTCCTGCACTTTGCCCAGTGGCTCCAACTGTAGTCTTCATGCTTTAAGGTGTAAGGGAGTAGGGAGCAGTGGCCTGGCCTCCTGGGGATGTATTAGCCTCTCAGTTAAGGAAGCCTTATCTTCTTAGAACAGCTTACCTAAACTGTTCCTCTATAGCACTACCTGCCCACAGTGGCAGTCAGTTTGCCAGTTTAGGTCATGTCATATTAATAATCAAGTTTCAAACAACCTGGTTCACCCTCTGGTGGCCTGAGTTGACCACAGACATAGGACTGTCTCAGAGAGACAGCCAGTCAGTAACTCAAAAACAATCCATAGGCCAGTTCTCCCACTGTCAAAAATATTCTTCTTAACCAAAACTCAGAGGTCCACATTATACTTTTAATTTTTAAAAAAAATATATCTTTATTGATTTCAGAGAGAGGAGAGGAAAGGAAAGGGAGAGAGAGAGATAGAAACATCAATGATAAGAGGGTCATTGATTGGTCGCCTCCTGCATGCCCCCTATTGGGGATCGAGCCCGCAACCCGGGCATGTGCCCTGACCAGGAATCGAACCCCAACCACCTAGATCCTAGGTCAACTGCTCAACCGCTGAGCCACGCCCTGCCGGGCCACATTATACTTTTAATACTAGGACCAGGATGTGTATAAGAATTCAGTTTGTAGAGTGAAGACATGTATGGAATACAGTTCTTTCTAAGATCATTTTTGGCTAGGTAACATATTTGTGTAATAAAGGACAATCAATCAGAAGCCATGTTATTCACAAAGAATTGACTTTCTTTTCTGTTCTGATTAATCCCTTTGTCTCGTTTCACATATGGAAATGCTTTGCATTCTGGCTCAGTCCCCTTCCCCACTCCTGCATAGAACTTGCTTTCTGTCTGGAAGTACAACAAGACACCCGGTTAGATCAAACCTAACACATCTCCGTCACAAAGCTACTGCAAGCTGCCGCCGACGATTGTCACTTGAGGGGAGACCCTCCTCACCACACACAGCCTATCTGAGGAGTGCCTTTTTTTCTATCCTCATTATTTAACAGTGTATGCCGATTACTCAAAGCGATATGGGCAGGCCCTGGTAAAAATAGCGTTGCTGTAGTGTTAACTTTTTATAAGGTAATGCTCAGGTTGCCTGCAGTGTCTAAAATTACTCTGTGGCCAGGGCCCCCTGCTTTATCGCTTTCTATAGTTTTAAAGTAGTTTGAAGCTTGAATAACATAAAATAACATAATATAATGTTATTTATGTTATTTCCCACGTGAAGAACGCCTGTAAACCTTGCAGTATTGAAACTCAGTGAACAAGGCATCTTAGACAAGCTGAAAAACAAATGGTGGTACGATAAGGGGGAATGTGGAGCCAAGGACTCCGGGAGTAAGGTCAGTCGCTGAAGGTCTTTTTGTACTGATTAGCAATCACATTTTGAACCACTGTTTATTTTCTACCCTAAAACGGCTTTCCTTCCCAACACACACACCCTGACACAGTGGGACCCCTTTATAACACCAGCACTAAAGTAATAAGGCAAACACCAGCCTCAGAGGCCTGCCATGTGACATCAATCATTGACTCTCAGATCTATTGTTATGATTAGGGGACACAATCTGACCCACTGCATATCAAAAGCTATAAAGTAAGGAGCTGTGTTATAAGGGGGTTTTACTGTATCTCACATTTCCAAAGTTCAAAGAGAAAATATAACAATAACTGAAAAAAAAATCCAGTTGTGACAGTACTTTTTCTTAACCACTTACAGTGTCAGAGACTTTGCAGTTGTAAATACCTTTGGTTATTAATGTATTATGTCAATCTCACCTGGAAACAGTCAAAGAAATAAATAACTAAGACTGGTCTCTGTAAGCAGAATGATTACCCTCCTCCCAGCTGCTGTCGTATTGAGTTCAGCATCTATTTGGATCTTGAATCTCATTAAGTCTGTCACACTTCTCTCTTCCAAAGGTGTCATTTAAATCTCTGTACGTAATACTTTTTAAATGTAGTCGCATGCTCCTTAAGGGTATACCTTGTCAGGATAACATCACATTGATAAGCATGAAACACTCTTCCCTTCCTCCTTCCTGCCCCCCTTTGTTCCCCTAAGAAAGTTCTTTTTAGTTTCAATTTTTGCCCTTCCTTTTTTTGAACTAATATTGTGGTATCAGTTAATTCATTTCATGAAATGCCACTCATTTTCCTTGTGCAGTGAACCATTTTGCTACTGGTTTCTACATCCCACAACAGGGAATTCTGTGAAACTTAAATACATGGAACTTGAAACTGTTTTTCTTGCTACAATTTACATGGGTTATGTTAAAGGACATTTTCCCCCCATCAAATACCACATACATATTAAAGTCTCAGGACAAAGGGAGGGTTACCAGAAATTGATCCATTTCCTAATGGACTGTGGAACATCCTTGCAGATGGTCTCACCAGCTTCCTTAAAGAAATGATCCATTGTTCCATAAGTGACAAATTCTTACCCCTTTTCTAGCAGTCATTCATCCTAGAAGAATGACTATTTGCAAGGTTGTAGACATGAAGCACACACATACCCCTTTCCCAACCGTGTGATCCAATTCCAATTGGCCTTTTTATTGAGGTGAACAAGTACAGGACTGGCTCTTATGAAAACAGAATCAGGACAAGGCCATATCATCTTTACATTCAATTCTTTAAATGATACCAGGACTAGCACTGAGTCAGCAATGGCTATCATCTGCTCACTGTGTTATCATTTGAATAATATTCTCAAATCACTGACTTAACAATTTGGATATTCCATTCAGTTGCATTCAGCAGCAAAATGGTTACATTCCCTCTAAAAAGACTACAAAATGCTATTTTATTTTTTTGTTTCAAAGAAAGGCTCCTGGCCCTTGGTGTGTCCTACCTCAAGGTAGGGCTCAAGGCACCAACATTTTCTTTCCATGGTTCAGCAATTCAGTTTTTGCTTTTTCATACAGGCAGATAGCTTAGTCAGATTTGCACAATTTGACCTGAAAGTCACTGACCGGCTTCCTCAATTTTTCCCCTATTTTGAATAGAAAGCAGATAAGTGTAGTTGGTTTTTTTAAATTATTTGCTACATTCCCTGGAGTAAAAGCTAAAAATGAGCTGGATTTTTAAAAAATCAACCTCCTGGAAAAGCTTTCTGATTTGTATGGAGCCAATTCAGGACCCAATGGGTCCTCCTGACAGTTTCTTTAAACTCTCAGGAAGATGGATCAGAGCCAATTCTTTGTGCTATGCCCTTGTTTCAGCAGCACAAAGACTTGCTGCCCTGAGGATGAACACTTAGCAACCAGTCCCCAAAGGGAGCAATTTCTCAACCACTGGGGGAAAGGGGAGAGTTAATCCTTTTTTAAACAAACCCCTGTGAAGTAACTCCCCAGATAAGAATATCAGGAACGTCTAATTTTCTCACCTGGTATCTTAAAGACTAGTTGTTGACAAGTTTGTCACAGGGAGAACAAGGGAGAAAGGGGTGTTGCGGGGCAGAGAGGGGAAAGAGTGCTTCAAGTTCCCAAATGAAGAGTGTTACATTTATAGAGATTATGTCACAGCTCAACTCTGGCAAATGGTGTTTATTGAGACGAAGAGTAATAGATTGTGCTTGTGTTTACAGTTTTGCTCCCATGACCAAGTGCTGTTTTACTGAGTTGTTGATACTATTTTGAAGTACTAGAAAATTTAAGGAGTCAAAAAAAGAATATATAGGTGAGGATCACAACTGTCAACAGAAGCACAATCTATCATCTTGCTAGCCGTTGTGAAACATCAGTCAGTTGCCAGAGTTGAGTCATAACACTTACATCAATGTTTAGTTATTTTACAACTTAGAACTATCCTATACTGTTGTGATATATTACAATGTCCCACTGCCTTTGTTTTCCCCAAGAACTAATCGCATTGTTCATTTCTCTTAGGACAAGACCAGCGCTCTGAGCCTGAGCAATGTGGCAGGCGTTTTCTATATACTTGTTGGAGGTCTGGGGCTGGCCATGATGGTGGCTTTGATAGAATTCTGTTACAAATCACGGGCAGAGTCCAAACGCATGAAACTTACAAAGAACACCCAAAACTTTAAGCCTGCTCCTGCCAGCAACACTCAAAATTACGCTACATACAGAGAAGGCTACAACGTGTATGGAACTGAGAGTGTTAAAATCTAGGGGTACGGTTAAGGTCTAGTAAACTTATCAGCCTTACATTGCTGTATGTTAATCTTTCTTTTTTTCTTTTTTGTTTCTTAGTTTTGTTTCTTGTTTCAAGCATTGTCTATTCTTTGCAACCATTTGATTCTTTGAAAACAATGGTTGTGCTTTCTTGTCAGACAGTAGTGCTTGTCTAATAGTGTAGTTGTAATTAAATTGTGGTCTGTGATCCAAAAGGAAAAAAATTCCCTAGAGCAGAACAGTTCAATAGAAATATTTGCAATTCACATATGTGAACCACATGTATAATTTCAAGTGCTCTAGTAACCACATTTTAAAAAGTAACACAAGGGAAATTAATTTAATGATATATTTTATTTAACCCAATATATCCAAGATAAACTTTCAACATGTTATAATTATAAAAATGAATGAGATATTTTACATTCTCTGCTTCATACTAAATCTTAAAATCTGGGATATATTTTATTCTCATGACACATCTCAACTAATACTAGCTGCATTATCAAGTACATATTCAATAGTCATATGTGGCTAGGGACTATCATATTGGACAGTGCAGCCCTAGAGAAAGCAATTGCTCTGAAACTGATGTTAAAATAAGGAATGGAAATGGGGCACTGCCTCCTTTGAGAACTGCAATGCTTCCATAGGGGAGCAGTGGTTCTCTTAAGTATAAGCTGGAGAAATTTTTTTAATCTTTGAGTTTTTTCGTTGTCCCTTCTTGGAACTAATATTCAGGTAAGTATCTCCCAAAGAACAATCAAGGATCCTTACTGCTGGCTGCCCCAAATTCATACTTAGATGAACTTGACTGATGCCACCTTGACTCTGGCAGCTGTAGCCAACCCCCACCACCATCATCACCTATAACTCAGATGTGTTCAAAGGCAAGCTTGAATTAAGATAATGCATTTATTCTGGAAGTGTTTAAAAGAATATAGTCTTTTTACCTTCAAGAGCATCTGTCATCACTAACACACCTACCTGAAGTGGAACAGAACATTTAGCAGCTTCATGGCCCTTATTTTAGGTGGGAGATTTTTTTACCTCAGGAATCAATGTCAATGTGCTTGAATTTCTACAAATGCATTTATTTGTGTTTTGATCTCCTTATATTTCACATTGTGAATCTAAATTTAGCTGATTTTTAAATATTTTATCCAAATAAATCATTTGTCTTCACCATGGAAAGCATTATCTTGTTTGATGAAGTTGCTGGTTGTTCTTTCTGCTGCACACTGTAAACATTTGTGACAACATTTTTAGTACACTGAACTAACCCACTAACAAAGCATTCTCATCGCATTGCATGAATTCATCTGTAATTCGCACTGTTTGCATGCAAGCATTTAATGTGCTATGTGCTTAAAATATTTTATTCTTGAGTACATTACATAGGCCAATTACAATTTGGGGCATATTGTTTGTTTTTTCATAGGACGGTACATGACACATCTCAACTAATACTAGCCGCATTATCAAGTATATATTCAATAGTCTACCTTAATTATCCAAAATTCTGAGATCCTAGCATCCAGAGAAATAATACACCTAAAATCTGCATAGTTTTCCAAGTGTTCTCAACTGTATTGCCTCATTTGAGGTAGTGGGTCAGAAAGTATTTTCCCTTTTAAGTAACTAAGACCTAGCCACACCTAGTGACCTGTTCAAGGCAACACAACTAGATAGTGACAGTTCTGAGACTAGAACTTAGCCCTTCTTTCTCCTATAGCTATATTCTTTATCAAACCATGCTGCCTCTAATCATCCATGGCCCGGTAGTCTCCAGGAACCTTGAAATCTCAGTGGGATCCTATCAAATGGAAAGCAGATCCTGAGTTTTTGTCCCACTTGTTTACAAAAAGTCTTGAGGGACTGACTTCACCAAGCCTCCATATGCCCCACTTATGCACTCTACATGAGGTTGTGTATTCAATCATTCCTTCTTTCCCCAGAAAGAACCTTTTGAAAGAAGGATATCAGGGTCACATAGCCTCCAGACCCTCTTTTATTACCAGCTATTCCATCTGAGAATCTAGGTCCCTACTCTCCAACTACTATAGCCTCAGTCTCTTGTTAAAGCCTCAGAGCAGTTCTCAAATGTCAGTGTGCATTTGAGTCACCTGGGGATCTTATAAAAGTGCAGATCCTGATTCAGCAGGTCTGGGATAGGGCCTGAGAGTCTACATTTCCCACAAGCTCCCAAGTCATGTTGATGCTGCTGGTCCAGGGAGTAGAAGTATTCTAGAGAAAATTATCTCACAGCATATAACTTAAGGAAAAAAGGGAAGGAAGGAAGGAAGGAAGGAAGGAAGGAAGGAAGGAAGGAAGGAAGGAAGGAAGGAAGGGGAAAGAAAAAGAAAAAAGAAAGAAAGAGAGAGAGAGAGAGAGAGAAACTGAGAAACTGAGAAACTGAGATCAGAAAACCTTTAAGAAAGTTGCTTTTGTAAAGTAGAGGACCAGGACATCAAATCTAGGGAAAGAGCCACAGAAATAAACTTGACACAACTTCTGAGTCTCTGGCTGCCCTTTAGTCATTTTGGTTAATCCATTTTGTGAAGCAAAAATCAGGCTAATTAAAGCAAAAATCACATTTTAATTGACATCGATGCCAATGTGGTCACAGCCCAGTTAGCTAGTACCTTGGCAGCCATCCCTAGGATGAAAAGCAAACCTGGGAAATGCCTCTGTGAACAAATCTGTCCTCCAAGTCTGTGAAGTCTCCAGATGAAAAAAAAGAAAGAAAGAAAGCCTCAGAGGATGCTGGAAAAAGCCTTACATGTGCCAGTCAAGAGGTACAAAGCAGCCTGAGCCTGAAATAGAAGCCTCTCCGCTGTCCTTGGCCAGTTTGGTGATGTATTCTTGGGGAAATATTGGTTAAGTGAAGAATGAGATCTTCCATCCATCCTTTATTTCCCAAGAAGTTCGGAATATCTCCTAGTGACTTCTAACTTGTTGTCTCGTTATTAGACTTCCAGTTTGATGAGTTGGCCTAGATCTGTCAGGGTCTACTCAGGGGCACAGAGATGAAGAGGCACCCTGAGGTTTAACTTTTATTGCTAATTATCAGAGCCAGCCTTGGGAGTTTATGGTACCGGTAATTCTTCGGGGAAAATGACTCAAGGGCAAATCACCTACAAAAATATGATCCAGGTGAAATCTGGTTAATAAAAGGCATCCTTGAAAGAGGAGGAAGTCCTCTATGAGTGAGAGTAGAGTCAGGATTATTAAACTCCTTATGGGAACATGTGCCTCAGCCCCAGATCCAGCACCCACTAAGGAGCAGGTAGTCAAGAGGCTACCTGCTGCCTCTCTGGGTTACTGGCCCACTACTGGAAATGTGGCCCCCAACCATGCCTTGGCAGGTGACCAATTCCAGATTCATTGTTCCCTAGGGTTAACTCTGCTAATTGTTTTAAGAAATATTTTCCAATTTTTTCATTGCTGTTCAGAACTACTTTTGGCTTCTTTGGCTTCTTCAAAAATATTTTTGAAATCCTCATTTTCAAGACCTCAAGATGCTGAAGTGAAAGAAGATTTCCATTTGTCCTCTAAGACAGTCTTCCTAGAAAATATTAACTTTGTTCATGCGGCCATTTTCAAAGTCACCAATCTTCCTTTTGCAGCCTAAGCATAGACATTCTTGCTGGAGAAACTTTCCTGCTTAAAGAGTTCATCCTATGTTAAGTGGAAAACACATTCTGGATGATTGAAATAGTGATGTTCTTTGTCCCCAGAGGACTTTTACCTCAGTGATAATAGGTCACCCATCACCATTTAAAAGCAGGAAACACAGGCACTGAGAGATTAGGTTGCTTTCCCAAAGTTATACAGCTATGGCAAATGGGAAGGAAGGAGGGCACTTTGATCTTTCTGCCATAGATATGAAATGTTCCTAAGCTTCTGAGACAGATATCACTCAGGAGCCTGGGCATTCCAAAAAAAGGTTTACTCACTTTCATGTTAGTATTATTCTGCCTTCTTTAGGGCTTTTGGCCTTCAGGTGCATCCTTGACAGTCTTCTTACAGATACTTTTATTCCAGGGCCACTGGTAGAAAATGATTATGTCATTGCTTTGGGATAAAATTCATTGTTAGCTCAGGAGGAGAAGGGTCCTATTAGTATAGAGGGAAAGGACAGAGAAGAGGGATGTGAGCTTGACAAGAAGACAGAAAAGTGACCTTAAGTTTTCAGAGCCAGGGGCATATGAATCCTCCGCACTAGTTAATGCCTCCAAGAGGAAAGTGGCATCAGCATCTCAATCAGGCCCACAATATCAGGGCAAAGACCCCATGGATGCCAAGCCCCTTCATGGGTATCACTGTTCTGGCCTTTTCCTGGAATGTGCTTTCTCTTTAAAGTCTTTGTACTTTCAGACTTTAATAACTAAGGTTGTAGGTATTAAGAGAAACAAGCTCTCACCCTTCTGACAATGAGCAGCAAATGTTCTTCTCACAGGCAAATGGATTGCAATCAAGCAAGCCATAGAACACTGTTTACCCTCTGTACCAGGTAAACAATCCTTGGTCACAGGTTCTGCAATCACCATACATTATGCAATGCAGTTGTCCTGAATATCGTATTTAAATGCTACTAAGACTTTCTGGTATACCTACATCTTAAGTGATTAATGTCTTGAGTTAGATTTCATGCAATGCCTGTACATTCCTTAGTACAGTGCATAGTAGAGAAGAAACTTAACTTGTTGCAAAGCATTTGCATTAGGTGAAAGAATTTAAACAGACCTGTTATCTAAAGCCAGTCAAACCAGGTACAGCCCCCAAGATACCAATTTGAGAAAACAGCCTCAGTTCTTGTCCAAGATAGACTGAGCCATAATAAACTTGTCAATTCCCAATAAAAAGCCCATTCAAATTTAAATTTCCCCCTTGCCTTTGCAGATCCCTTCCCACACTAGAGGCATGTGACGAGAGGAATCACCGAAAATGTGGCTGCTTCAAGGATCCTGAGCCAGATTTCACTCTCCTTGGTGTCGGGCATGACACGAATATTGCTGATGGTGCAATGACCTTTCAATAGGAAAAACTGATTTTTTTTTTCCTTCAGTGCCTTATGGAACACTCTGAGACTTGCAACAATGCAAACCATCATTGAAATATTTTGCTTTGCTTGAAAAAAATTAAAGTAAAACCAACAAAAAAATGGACATGCAAGATTCCAGTATGAGAAAAAAAATCTTACTAAAAAAAGTCAGTTCAACAAAAGCCATTCTTTGATACCACTGCACAGTATACAAACACCATGTTCTTTAATACACACAGAAATTTAAAATTCCAGTTCAGCAAATAGGCCCATCTTAGCTAAAATAATTTCTTCTGATTTAAAAAAAAAAAAAAATTTTGACTCCCTGTGTGTGGGAAGACAGACTGGCATTTCTTCTAGGATCTGCTGACCAGATGTTTTTGGTATTTACTGTTGGTGATGATGTTCTGTGCACCCTATTTCCTTTCAATGTTGCTGAAATGTGTATATCTTTAGACTGTAAATGAAACGCTTAAGAAAATTCATACGCTTTGAAAAAAGGGACTAAACGGTGACTTCTCTGTGTTCTTGAAATAGTTTCGTGAACATGCTTTGATAACTTCCCACTCAGTGAAGAGATTAACAGAATTTTTGAAATTGACTTTTGTGTGTAGTGAAGGATGGGGCACGATCGGGCATACCTCTCGGTGCTTTCCCAAAACGGATCCCCGGGGCTTTCCAAGAAGCCTGGAATTTCAGCTCACAGATCTGTTTTTCTTGCTTCGGTGTGCATTTTAAGTCAAGATAGCCGAGTATCTAGCATTGAGGTGAGGGAAATGCTGCCTATACTCTCAAATGTGTTTAGAATATCTTTCTCAGAAACAACACTGTGTTTAGCTCTGCTTTCTCTGCTAAGTATGCCTTTCAAGTGTACACCACGGAGACAGTACTGCATTGCAAGGCGGGCCAGTGGGTTCAGACCACAGTTCTCAATCTGATTTCACTCTTGCTAGGTCTGTCTTACCAGCTGTTGCCTGTTACTGCCCGCAGCTCTCCGTCAGATTGCATGTGTCCTTTTCTAGTTTGCAAAGAATAAAATGCATTCCCAAACCTACTGCTAAACTGAGGGCCTGAGCATCACTCCCAGGTCCTGGCTTGGAGCAGTCTCTCTACTGACTCTCTCAGAAGATCGCACCGCTGCTCCACGGGCTATCAAGTAACTAATTGTGTACCTGCCGTTGGCATCATCAGAACAGTCAGAGGAAATAGTTGCTCACTAATTACCTCCTATATAACGAGTATGCTTTCTGTAGTTCAGTAGTTTGCTCTCATCAGTGACATGCATTGGGAAGTTTCCAGACTGTAAAAACTAGGAGCTGGAATTTATTTCCCAAGTGTGACCTTTAGATGCTTAGTTGACTCACTGCATATTTGCTCTTGTCTTCAGAAAAGAAAGGAAGTCTGGTTCCAACGAAACGGTTCTAGAAAAGTGTAATATAAACTTTCAGTCCAAAAAGTGTGTCATAAGCGAATAACTCACCTGTCAACTTTTAAATGGTATTGAACAACAACAACAAAAAAGAAAGCTGTTGTATTTTTGTTTTGTTTTGTTTTCATGAAACTGTAATTTTCAACTTCTGAATGCTATAATGTTCAGTGCGGGAAGCTATCGCTGTGCGAATATGAAGTTGTATAAAACAAACCAACCTACCTACACACAAATGTTTTCATAGGCACTGTATAAAAAAAAATGTATGTTTATTGATTCAAATCAGTTTTTCAGAGAGGAAACTTCACTGAGAATGAAGACGCGGGTAAATTGGTTTGTTATCTTTTAAAAATTTGCATGTTTAGAAAAAAACATTGATTGCTTCAAATTTCTGCTACTAACTTCAAGCTAGGGGAGTTTGGCGGTAGTCACTTGAGGATTTTTTTTTTCCAATTCTTTTATTTTTGTTGTTAAAGTTGTACTTCAGTGAACAGAAAAATTGCCAAGCAAACTAATGGCCGTAAAAGCGTAAAATGCATGTGTGGGCATAAACTACGGAGCCTCATTGCCATGAGGTATTGTATAAAGTTTTAATACATTTTGTAAATAAAATTGTAAAGAAAGAATTCTGTTTCTGTGCTTTGTGTAAAATTTGCTTGGATGCAGATGCCAAGAAGTAATTTTTCACTAATTTACTTCCCACCAAAAGCTTTGCCAATGTAACAGTCACCTTACTGGTGATTCTCACAAAGGACTGTGCCTCTCCCCACCCCAAATACAGCCACGGTCAGACTCAGACCCCTCCACCTAAGTGGAACGGTACCACCAAACTTTAGATTAAGTTTGTCAGGACCACCAACAGTGAGATGGCCTCTACAAAGAGCAATAAGCAGGACCTCAGTTCATATAAAAGAAGGAAAATTTTGACTTCAGGGCCTTCCATTCCCACTATCTGTCTCCTCCATCCTTTGGGACCCTCTCCTCAGATGCCTATCTTGGCTCTAACTTTGGTCCCAATTCTCCAATTTCCAGATCTGATCTCCCATGAAAGTGCCCAAATTCAGGACTGATAAACCTCAAAAACATTTCCAATTCCTTTCCCACATCATCACAAAGCATATGTCCTAGTACTCTTCATTATTGGCTAAGTTTTGTGCTGCTGCCATAATTATTGACAATAACTTAATGTTCCATTGGAAAAATCTTTACTCCACCAAGTGTCTCTGATCTAGAGTGAGGGAAGAATAATGAACATAGGAATATTGTGATTTTTAATTGTTTCTGAGAAACTAAAGGCTAATGATCCAGTCTGATTTATAGATACTAAACATGGAATATAGTTTTATCCAATAAATAAAGCAAGTGTTTAAATATAACCAAGATTTAGACCATGATCACCATAGAAAACAGTGGATAGGAAAGGAAAGGAAAGGAAAGGAAAGGAAAGGAAAGGAAAGGAAAGGAAAGGAAAGGAAAGGAAAGGAAAGGAAAGGAAAGGAAAGGAAAGGAAAGGAAAGGAAAGGAAAGGAAAGGAAAGGAAAGGAAAGGAAAGGAAAGGAAAGGAAAGGAAAGGAAAGGAAAGGAAAGGAAAGGAAAGGAAAGGAAAGGAAAGGAAAGGAAAGGAAAGGAAAGGAAAGGAAAGGAAAGGAAAGGAAAGGAAAGGAAAGGAAAGGAAAGGAAAGGAAAGGAAAGGAAAGGAAAGGAAAGGAAAGGAAAGGAAAGGAAAGGAAAGGAAAGGAAAGGAAAGGAAAGGAAAGGAAAGGAAAGGAAAGGAAAGGAAAGGAAAGGAAAGGAAAGGAAAGGAAAGGAAAGGAAAGGAAAGGAAAGGAAAGGAAAGGAAAGGAAAGGAAAGGAAAGGAAAGGAAAGGAAAGGAAAGGAAAGGAAAGGAAAGGAAAGGAAAGGAAAGGAAAGGAAAGGAAAGGAAAGGAAAGGAAAGGAAAGGAAAGGAAAGGAAAGGAAAGGAAAGGAAAGGAAAGGAAAGGAAAGGAAAGGAAAGGAAAGGAAAGGAAAGGAAAGGAAAGGAAAGGAAAGGAAAGGAAAGGAAAGGAAAGGAAAGGAAAGGAAAGGAAAGGAAAGGAAAGGAAAGGAAAGGAAAGGAAAGGAAAGGAAAGGAAAGGAAAGGAAAGGGGGTAATTCACAACTAAGACAGAAAAGAAGAGTGAAGTTGAGATGCTAAAGATATAAAGGAAGATATCTGGAGTTAGGGAGCAAGGGAACAAGGAACACAAGACCTTGGAGAGGAAGATAACTAGGTGTGGGAAAGGAAAACTCTTAGAAGATTCTGAAGTATAGGCTGATATAACACATTGCAGTTAATTTGGCCTGTGGGCTTCAGCATATTACTACCATTTTCAGTGTCATCTGAAATGCCCATTAGCTGGTGAACCACTCACACTTTAAAACCCTGTTTTCCTTCAACTGCTTTCTTGGCAGTCCCACCAGAAAAGAACTGGTTCTCTAGGGAGCATATTCAGTGACTAGACTAGACTGGAGTGATGGTCCCGTTGGTGGCTGATGAAATCAGTTCAGGTCCTCGATTAACATCATTTTGTTCAATGTTGTTTCATTACAATACTAATGAGATTCTGTAAGAACGTAACTCTTGTTTATATCAATCAGCCTATGGTAAAATTGGTTTCATTATACATTGTTTTGCTTAACGTCACAGAACTGATCAACATTAAGTGAGGACTTACTGTACCAAATTATGTCCCCAGATTTTCCAAAATAATACATTTATATTTGAACAGGAACTCCAATTCTTTCCCCACAGGAGAGCTAATCTCAGGTGCTGTGGTAGATGATGGTGAAGTGTAGTTTAGGCTTAGGTGGGATTTGTGTATTTTTGTCCTTGGAGGAAAGGAGAAGCAAAGGGGGTATTTTTAGTCTTTCTCTAATTAGACTACAGGTGACTATATGTCTTGCTCACACATAGAGTCAGACTCGCCATCCAGATCTGCAAAAAGGTCTGGAACTTCAAATAGAACACTACTCCTGTGCACAAAACTGAGAATGCCTCTTTGGTCTTTACATTAGTTTTCTTGCCTTGTTAAGATTCACATATAATCACGCTCTGTCAGTAGTATAATCTTCAAATAGGGAGGGCAAATGTACTTAAGGAAACATTGTTAAGATCGTGGAAGAAACAGTGCTGCAAGTCACCTTCCTGATATTGGGTGGGGGGGAAGAGCAAACTCAGAAAAAAAGCAAAACCATTATTCCTCAGAATCCAGACTCAATAAAGCAGAGATGTATTAATATGCTGTCTCATAAGGGTCAGAAACCAGTTATACTACCAAAATCTATTATTAGTTGGAGAGTTTCAAAACCTGAGTCAGCTATTCAGGGCCAAACTTCTCTCCTCTTATTCTTGCCCTATTGGACTAGGCCTCCTGGATGCCAATTTATTGCCAGGTCACTTGGCAGACATGAAACTCAGCAGCAATATATCTGCATTAAGTTGTGGGTACACACAGATCTTAGCATGCCATCAGAAAATCTCTATTGAATTTGAGGGTATTGGAAGGACTTACAGTTTCACCTCTATCATTCTGGGCTGAAGGAAAGGAAAGCGGTGGGTGGC